CCTGACATGGTGCTCATATCTATGTGCAGTGCCCTGATGAAAAGCAGGTGGCGTCCCATTTTCATCTCTGTAACAGCAGCTCGGGTTGATTAACCGGCAATCAATTAGTGCCCACCAGCTGTTTACAATGATCAGCTCTCCTTCTGTGAGTGGAGATGTTAATTTCACAAATTACAGCTCTCAACTGACTAAGCCTTCCAGAAGAATTACCTGGTTTCTTTTCTTCAGAGAAAAGCTCTCTGTTTCTGTTCATTAATTAGGAAACAAGAGAACAGGCTGATGGTGATGAGTCCACTGAAGGATTTAGCAATGGTGGTGCATCGTTATCAGGTGAGTAAGGAGTAGGTGCCAAAGGGAATCAGAATATATATATATATTTTTTTGCAAACTAAGCAGCTTAGATAATTTATTGGTAAGAAAAACTTAACAGCAGGATGAATGTTAGTGTAATGGTATGGAATCTGATCAATCTTTTGTCCTTATTTTATTCTAAATAAACAAAGGAGGAAAAAACATATTAGTTCATTTTTATTGCTGACATGGAAGAACATAAATTAATCTGCAAACTGTGTATAAGCTGGTTTATTTTGTTAATGTAAATCAACTGACATGATTTACGTCTGCTTTCACCCCGCATTGAGTATGGAATCCAATTTGTGTCAATAAGGCCAAACAAAACTTTATAAACTGGAGGGTTTAAACAAACAAATCCCACAAAGTAAATATATGAACAAATACTTTGATAAAATGATGTTAATGTAGAAATTATTCCTTAGGATATTCTTACCTGATAATGTAACTCTAGCAAATCCAGGCTTTAGTTTTGGGGGATTTTTCTTACATCATTATACTTTGTCTTCTTATTCTTTTTTCATAGTAAAGAATTTAGTTAATGGGGTTCAAATGGCAAGAAAATTATGATTTCTGCCCTGCCCTTCGCCCTCCAACAGGCCCCACTATTGGGGAGATAATCCTGCAATGTTGTGTTAAGAGCAGCGTTTTTTAACCCTGGTGCTCAGGAGTTTTCCTGTCTCCACACACCTGAACTAAATGAAAAGGTGAATAACAGGCTTTTTGCAGCATTTATAGGTTGCAGAGGAGGAAATGCAATTATTTGAAACAGGTGTGCTTGAGTAGAGACACCTGAAACATGAAGAATGGTGGGCCCTAAGGACCAGGATTAAGAAACCCTGGTTTAGAGTGATCAGGTCATCCCCGAAGATCCATCCATCCATCCATCCATCCATCCATCCATCCATCCATCCATCCTACACTTATCCTGGGTCGGGTCGCGTGGGTAGCAGCTTCAGTAGGGAGGCCCAGACATCCCTCCCCCCAGCCACTTGGGCCTGCTCCTCCCATGCAGCCTCCAGGATCCTGCAGAGGGTGTAGAGCTGATCCAGTAATAGAATGTAAAATATGTATTAAAGCACTTATTGCTCCATACTATTTTCCGTATGCTGTGTCAAGGTGTGTATGTACTCATATGATTCCTAATTTAGTGAAAATAACACAACTCTGGTTGATTGTTATGATCTAATGTTGTCCTCCTGCTCCTCCACCCTGCCTCCAGTTAAAAAAAAAAGTTTCTCTTTGTGTGTTTTTTTTTATATATATATTGAAAAACCATGCCTGAATGCAGTTAAGACTCCCCTGCAAATGACATCATGAAAATAACCCAAATAATGTATTGTTTACTGTATTAAGCATCTGCAGTATAATGCCTGACATGCCTCATATTACTTTTTAGCCTCTTCAGAAGGTCTAAACATTTTTTTTTTGCTTCAGCCATAACCAGTAGTTGAGCAGGTAGAAAAGTATTAGCGCAGAAGCCTTTGCATCATGACTATAAAAGAGCCTGTGGCCGTAAAACGATACAGTCTTCCAGGTCACATGAACTATCCAACGATGGTGCGTCTTCTCCCAACTTACATAGTCGGGGAGCCCCGCTCTTTCCACTGATGGTGTCAAACTCTCTATATTGAATCATTTAAAATAATTCATATGCATCAACTCTTTAGTTCACAAAGTCTGCGGTGTGCCTTTAAGAAACGTACCTGTTTTTAACTCAGTTTTGCAGTGTATCAGGTCATACACAGTGAGGTAGGCTAAAATATTTGCAAGGGGTGTGCCCAAAATATAAAAGCTTGTGTTCATTATTTAATGCTTTTTGTTCATTCTGTTATCCAACAAATGCCTCGGTGCTGATTTCTGTAACCTTTCTCTGCTTAGCTTAGAACAAAAGAGTTCAAGTTTAGCTGTGTTTGAGTCGTCCTCTCAGGACAGGGGGCCCTTTAAGGGGCAGTATCCTGTAATGTCTAGATGTGTCCTTTTCCAAAACACACCTGAGGAGGTAATTAAGCTATTTGATTCAAGTGTGTTGGACCACAGAGAAATAAAATGATTGTTTTTAATGTGGTTTGTTTCTGAGGTAAAGAACTGGGTCGGACTGTAGTGTGGTCTTTAAAGAACAAAACTCCTGCCCTATAAAGTTAGAATTCTGAAGGACAGACTCATAAATAATCCTACAAGCAGTTTAAATTTGAAATGTTTTATGCGTGCAGGTTCAAAACCATGAGGCCCCCAATATTTTCCAAACAGCAGCGCAGCTCCAGTACCTGCTTCCCTGCCAGATAATCTACTACTCCTCTGTTGACCTTATGAACTTTTTTCACTGCAAGGGTGAAACCATTTCTAAATAATTGTTAAAGTAAATTGTGGGGCGTATTATTAAATTAGTCCAAGAGACAAATCAACGATGGTCTCTTCTATTATCCCATACCATCAAAAGACCTAAAAAAAAAAAGTAAATATATTCTCAATATTTGTGATCTACCAAAGCAATTAATAATTTTGCTCATAAAATATAATTAGTTATAAGAAATAAGATAATAAAGATTGTTTTTTTCTTATGTTAAACATAAATAATCTTATTCCAGCTGCAAATTGACTTACCTCTTCAAATCAAGGGTTAGGGTTACTCTTACTTCATGAAAAATTAGCTTATATCTAAAAATTTGCTGTGTGTGTCAGTACAGGCAGCATATATATAAATACCCATATACTGTATGTATCCCATGCACCTTTTCTTTCTGTGGGACATTCTTCTTCTTTTTGATCATTTGAGCCGATGTAACGAGTACATTTCTCCACTGTGAGATCAATAAAGCCAATCAATCAAATGAGTTGACCTCAAATCTTCTGGAATTAGTCATTTAATCCCTTTATAGGTAAAATGTACTGTAAAGATTTCAGTGCCAAGCATTAATTTCTGAAGCTTTTTTTTTCCTACTGCAGATACTTTTTTGATATTTACAGTAAAGACTTTCTGAAAGCGTGATGTCGCTGTTTGACGCTCATCATTGAAATTCACCATCGTCAAATGCAACTTGATGAGTTACTGAAATAGACAAAAATACATTCTAACATCCATCCATCCATTATCTGACACACTTGTCCCAATTGGGGTCGCGAGGGGTGCCTATCTCCAGCAGTCAATGGTAGGGGTGTGCAAAATAATCGTGATGATGATGCATCGTGATTCTAATTTTCGTGATCTACTGCATCGATTCTTGATGCCAAGAATCGATTATTAATTTAAAAAAATTAATAAATAAAATTGCATGAATGGTTGGCGAACATCAGCCAAAAACGAGTGTAATACAACTTCCAGTCCAGTAGATGTCGATGCGGATGTGTTGACGCACGCTGCCTTGTGTCACAAGCATTTCCGGCCGTGGGATACTGCGCCGAGTCATTCAAAAACAAAACATGGAGGAGAAAATATTGCAATGCATCGCAATAATTCAAGTATTGTGATGCATCGTGATAGAATCGCATCGTGGCCTGTGAATCGTGACTTCTTTGGCAATACCCACCCCTAGTCAATGGGCGAGAGGCGGGGTACACCCTGGACAGGTCGCCAGTCCATCGCAGGGCAACACAGAGACAAACAGGACAAACAACCATTCACGCACACACTCACACTAAGGAGAATTTAGAGAAGCCAATTAACCTAACAGTCATGTTTTTGGACTGTGGGAGGAAGCCATGCAGAAAGACCCCGGGCCAGGAATCAAACCCAGAACCCTCTTGCTGCAAGGCAGCAGTGGCACTCACTGCACCACTGAGCAGCCCTACATTCTAGCAATGAATAAGAAATACAACCCCCGCCCCCCCCTTTTTCTTTCTTTTTAACCAATAAATTCATGTCAACATAGCGATGTCCATAACAGATTAATTTATTGTTAACAATCACTGTTTTGGTAGAGCGCACTCCAGCGAATGGAAGTAAAGAAAACACAGATTTAAAAGGCCAGCTAACAATAGTAACAAATAAAAAAGGAAATAAATAGAAAATAATCTGGTTTATGTCTAATAATTCCAGGTTCGTTTGAATACATAACATCTACAGTATAAGTTAATAAATCGAAGCTACTGTATGAATACATCACCAGCATGCACAACATTGTTTTATGGAGAATATTGGAGCGTTTATCTCACACTGAAGAGACAGTAGAAGGCAAGTGCAATTTATCGACCAAGAAGAAACTAAAAACAGAGTTAATCCACAAACCTCCAATCAGCTCGTACAGCTTCCACTGGAACAATCCTTGTGCTCTGCTCACATATTAGTTTGTCACTTAGGTCTGTGGTTTTCTGGGTGTCTGGCTTTTCAGAGATCCTGTTGATTTGTAAAGGCAGTATTACCTGGAGATGGTTTTCAGTCAGTGTTTTTGGATCAAACTGTTTCCTCCCAAATACAAGAAGCCAATCTAAGATGTTACAGTAATGACAATACTGACAATAAGAGTTAGGTGTCCAAAAACAGGTCATTTATTTAGGAAAGCAAATCAGCACATGAGAGGGACAAGCTGCACTATTTTTTTTATTTTTTTTTTATGTCTGTATGAGTTTGCAGTTTGAGTTACAGTATGACTGACTGTGTGACTGAGCTGGACACGTACTCGACACAATGCAAACAAAAACCTGTTTTTTTCCATGTCTTCAACCGTAGAAACAACCTCGTCTTCACTCAGCCATCACAGGTACGGAGCAACAAAGATGTCGATGTGTTTCTCTAAAGTCTAAAACCCCGATGGAGCCCAAGCTCCTCCCTGGAACCCGTCTACTCTCTGACTCTCTGTCCGTCTCTTTCACTAAGCAAGGCCAAGACATTCAAGGCTGCGCTAATTTTCTTGCTGCTCACGCATCGAGAACTGAATTTCTGAACACTGTTCCCCGGTTGAGACAGCTCGGCTTCATTTGCGCGGTGGGATCAGTCACTGCAGGGTGTGATGTCATCGTGTTAACACCACGATGGACTACGTGCCTCTCGCGACCGAAGTCGGGGTGTTCCGGCAAATGCTGCAGAGGCTGTCGAGGAGGGAGTGTCATTCTCGGGTAATTTAGTTTTATTTGATAATTGTTGCGCATTTCTCTAACTAAACCTTTTACAATTGTTTTTTTTTTTTTTTTGTTGCTTTTTGTTTGTTGAAAAATAAAGAGCGGCAGCCGCATAGGTGCCGTCGGCTACGACGGCGGCCGATGTTCCACCACCCCGCCCCGCCCTCCCGTTTTCTATGTTTTTTGTCATTTTTTGTTTTATTTTTCATTTTAAATTAAGAAATTTTTAACAATTACTATTTTGTTGTCATTTGTGAGCGCGCATTTTGCTTTGATTTGGCAGAATGAGGATTTTTGACTTTTTCCTGTTTTAGTTGTTGCCCTCGCCGCCCTCATCGTCCTGCTGGTCGCTCGTCCACAGCGTCAAGTTGTCTCGTAGCAGCTGCATGATGAGAGTGGAGTCTTTGTAGGAGTCCTCATTGAGGGTGTCCAGCTCAGCAATGGCGTCGTCGAAGGCCGTCTTAGCCAGGTGGCACGCCTGCTCGGGGGCGTTCTGGATCTCGTAGTAGAAGACGGAGTAGTTGAGAGCCAGGCCCAGACGGATGGGGTGGGTGGGCTGCATGTGCTCCTTGCTGATCTCATGGGCCTCGCTGTACGACTTCTCGGACGACTCCACAACCGAGGCTCTCTTCTCGCCCGTGGCGACCTCTGCCAGGTAGCGGTAGTAGTCGCCCTTCATCTTCAGGTAGAACACTTTGCTCTCGTGTTGCGTCTCGTTGCAGTTCTTGATCAGGAAGTTGTCGAGGAGGTTGAGCACGTCCTGGCAGACGGCCTCCAGCTCCTTCTCGATCTTTTCCCGGTAGGCCCGCACCATCTCGATCTTCTTCTCGTTGCCGTCGGCCGACGTCTTTTGCTCGATGCTGGAGATGACGCGCCAGGACGAGCGCCTCGCTCCCACCACGTTCTTGTAGGCCACAGACAGGAGGTTCCTCTCTTCATTGGAGAGCGCTTCATTCAGCTCTGTGACCTAAAAGACAACAAAGAAGTCCAGAGGTTAACCTTGGTCATGTTTGGTTGAAGTAAGTCAACCGCTTTTGACCTGTTTTTATTTATCATGTCTTTAATGAGAGGAAAATAAAACTCCAGTTAGACAAGTGTTTTTCTTCTCCTGAGATTTTATGTGATAGAAAAACCCTGGATAACCGGCAGTCTTAAGAACAGTGGTTCTTAATGGATGTATTATGGTTAAGGACACTAACACCAGCATGTAGCCGAAACGTGTTTTTGCCCATATAAAACTCTTTAAAAGCCTTGGAGTAAGGATTATCCAGATTAGTGCACATGGATTTTGTTTTATTTTATGAGGTATGCCAGATTGGAAGTGGAAGGAACATTAAAATAGTTGTCAAAGTTTTTAACAAGAAGTGTTTTCTCTCCTCCTGCATTTTTCCCTCTTAATATTAAAAAATCTTAATTTAAAAAAGAAATGTTTTTTCTATCTGTGTCGTCTTCTACGACAGTTTAATTTTCCAAAACTCTTAAGCATGACAAGAAATTTATAAAAGGTAAAAACCTTTTCACTCTATTGCTAATGAAAAAATGTGTTCTGGTTTTAGCATTAAAGCCATTTTAACTCAATTTGAGTCACATTTAACAGATAGTTTCTCTTAACAGCTACTTGAAGTCTTGCCAAAGATTCACAATTAGATTTAGATCCAGAACATGACAGATTTTGTAAATTGAAATAAAACAAATTTGTAATCAAGAAATGAAAAGTAAAAAAAAAACAATAAGGTTTAAGGGTAACTTTGCTGTTTTCTCAGATTTAGTTTAAAAAAAACTAATTCAGATTCATTTTTCATAATTTTTTCAAGGGATTTTGTTTTCACAGATTAAATATTTCCATATATTGTTTTCAAATGTATTTTTTTTTAAACTACCGATCTTAGATTTGATATAATTTTTTGTATTTAAATTTCTGTTTTTCAGATTGATTTTTACAACTTGCATTCTTTTCAAATTGCAATTTGAAAATCTCTGAAATTCAGAAATGTGAGAAAAAAAATTGAAAATGTAAAATCCATAAATCTTAATAATTCATTCATTAAATTAATTATTTTCAGATTTAATCAGATAAAAATAAAAACTGAGAAAACAGCAGAGTTACTCTCAAAATCTTTTTTTTGATTAGTTTTGTTTTTTTATTTTAATTTCTGTATTGCATTATTTTTCTAATTTCCATTTACATGTTTTCGCAATAATAATAGGAAAAAAAATTACTCCATTATTTCTCTCACAATGTTTTGTTTGATCAAAATAAGTTTCTTTCAAATAAATGCAACCAGACAGCATGGTATTTAGATTGTATAAACAGTCTGAAACACTTTTTTATCTTTTTTTTTTATTTGTAAAAGAAGAATGAAAGTCATCAATTGATGCCTTTCTACTCTAAAAATAAAAAAAAGGTATGTTTTGTTTGCAACAATAGAGGAAAAAGAAAAAGTAGACCCCGGGGCACATGGAATTCCATCACCATCTTGGGAAGGTCAGCCAACCCTCTTACCAAAACAGCAGATTCATCAGCATCGCTCTCAGGATGTTTTAGTTTAGACTGACGGACTGTTCAGAAGAACAGTCTGACTATCGATTTGAATACACTGAACCCGGCGTCCTTATAGATGTAGCTATGATAGCCGTGTTTAGAAAGCTGCAGCACAAGAAGCGTGAAACCTTCAGAGAGTTATGATTGATTAAATGCATTCAATCTACATTAAGCCTGCCAGAAAGTATTATATTAAGTGGAGGAGGTGACCTTTCCAAGATGGCGGCCCAACAACTCGATAGCACCAATCTACAACAGATACAAATAATTAAGAAACTTCCAGGGTTTTAGAAGACACAATGTTTTATTGGCCACAAAGTTGTGGAGAATGTCATCCACACTGTAACCATGACAACAGTCTCTGCATCCAGCTGCACTGACATCATCCTCCAAGGCAACACCTGATTGGCTGTTAGCAGCTCTGAATGCTGGTTTTGTTTTGATAGGTCTGTGTCCGGATAGAGGATTTAATCCCTCTTATCCCTCTGGGACTAAAGCAGCAGCAGCAACTTTGCAGACCCTTTCTAAGTATAGAGTCTGTTGTTTCATTCAGTTCTAGAAAATAATTCAGTCCCATGCAAAAAGCAAAGCAGGGGAATTCAACTAGGCACTCAGAAATGCTCTTAATGAGGCCTTCATTGAAAGCTATACTGATCATAGTACATATTTTCAATAATTGATGACTTGTGTATAAACTACAGAAAAACATTTAAGTTGTAAAGAACAAAGTAATTTGTTGCTTTACTAAAAATGTAGAGGCACTGTTTGGTTTAGCCTTTTCAAGATAATTTGGCGAAATTACACCTTAATGAGAAAATGCTCCTGCCAATGTGGTGTGTAAAGATGGCCATGATCTACAGTGACCATCACTGGACCGTCTCGATTGAAGTTTAAAAGCAATGTAAGGGGCCATCTCAATGTTTGCTTGCTTTTAGGGATGCTTGACATCACAGCAGCTAAAGGAGATTAATACTGGTGATTGATATCAGCCCATCAGACCGATACAGACACGCTTAAAAATGACCAAAATTGATGTTAATAATGATTTTAAATGTATAGTGGAGTCAATCATTCTGGTGAAATGTTTAAGTAAGGCTGTCCTACGTCCTCATCCCCATTTTCACTTATCGGTGGTGAGTCTCACATTGCGGAAAAATTGTAAATCATCTTTTGGAAAGTTAGCTTGTATGAGCGATGCAAACAGCAACTTTAAACAGAACATGCACGAGGAGAAATGGGCTCGTGCACACTCTTGCACGCGTTTAATAGACGTTCCTTCTTGCGGAGGGCCACTACCATGAGCTTTAAACAGGGAAACAAGCAAGCCCCAAACAAGAACTGCATATTTTAGTAGGATCATAATCCTGATGAGCTGACTGCACAGAGCGTCAGAGCAACTTGACCAATGTTTAACCCAGCGTCCAAATGTCTGTGTTTGTGATGCCAAAAATGTGTGCGGTGAGAACGCACCAAAAGAAATACGCCAACATGCTAATGAGCAAAAATCGGGTTAATTAATGTTTTCATTTATTTGCTGGCAGTAAATGAAAAAATGTCTGAATCTGCTGTCGGCTGGATTCATTTTAAGCATTTGGCATGCTGAGGCAAGTGGGCATATCCAGAAATGAAACTTTTAAAAACATTTTAATTGAAACATTTTTTGAGAGCAACTGCTAGCTGTTTTCTCAGATTTATTTATTTTTTTTTTTCAAATTTGTTTCAGTATTGTTCACATTAAAGATTTTCAAAGTTTATTTAATATTTTTAATAAGATTTTATATACTCTTTTGTTTTTATCCAAAATTTATTTTTTTCAACCTTTCCCCTGGTGTGAGGAATGCATGAAGGTTAGCAACAACATTGTATTGGTCAATTTGTGCGCCAAGAGGGAGCATTTGTAATGGGCTTAAAGTGAAGAGAATGTGATCTAAAAAACGGCATTAAAAAAAAAATAAATCAATACATAATAATCCATCTTAAATGTGTATAAAAACGTAAAAACTGATATTTTTTACCTTTTACAATCATGTGTATATATATATATATATATATATATATATATATATATATATAAAATCTGTAAAAATATTTAAATATTTTTCCCTCCCTATATACACTATACGTGTAGCAGATTTAGCATACCGGTACCTAAAGTACAATGCTCATGCTCAAGATTCTTTTATTTAATTCTTTATGCAATGTTTGCTTTTAAGACCGGTTTAGCTGGAGATCATATTGTTCATGCAACCTTGTCAATAGACAGGTGATGAAACTTTTTTTTAAATCTACATCTTAATGTATTATTGAAACGAAAGGCATAAATATATTTGTCTGATGGTTTTAGTTTACATACCTTAATGACCATAAATATCAAAAATCAAAACATCCAAAATAGTTTTAGCCGTTTCCTATTTCTAATTCACCAAGGAGGAGGAATGATCAGCCCACATTATTTGTCCAGGGGTTAAAAACACAAACGCAGCATCCTGAACACATGGTGGAGCTGTAGTGTCTAGAGAATACAGACACAGCCTGAACCTCTAATAACTTATCTTTTTAATTAACAATAATCCTCATTTTGTCAAGGCAAGGTGGTACACTAAAATGAAATCTATTATCTACATTTAACACATCCCCTATGGAGCAACGGGAAAACCTTTGAGTGGCAGCCTGAGAGATCTGAACCGGATAACGTTCAGCCTTTCCAGGATGCGAGCGCTGTGCTCCAACCCCCCTTCTTCTGGACATGAGTCACTTTAGAAGCAGCAGGGCTATAGCTAGGCTTTAATGCACACTGCATCTGGATAATCCCTGTTCCTTTAGCCACAGTTGTTTCTATATAAACAAACCTATGTGACTAATCATGTCCTCATCTGGTGAGCACATTGTTACGCACAAATGCTCACACCTGCATCTACACCCATCAACCTCTGTAATTCTCTCTAGTTTATGATACATAAAGAAGTCGCCAATCTGAGTTGTACTTCAATTGTAAAAGGGAGGGGAGTTGGGGCAAAGAGCAAGCTGTGTTGCAATCTAGTTTCCATGGTAATGGCAAAATCTGCCTTGTTTCTGAAAGCCTCTCTATCTCTGAAAGAGATATTGGCCGCAAGCTGCTCACAAAGAGAGGAGATGATGATTTGGTGAGGGCTGCGGCACGGTGGGAGGGGATCAGGGAGTATGGTGAAACCACAAGCAACCTTTTCCCCTCAGCCACTGCCTTTCCTGTCATATGAAGGACCTGAAGAATTCTGGCTGGTTTACAAGCTTCAATGGACAAAGACACACGGTTTTGATAAGAACTTAGAGGCATATTTCATTACAACAATAAATCAGATGAAGTGACAACATTGGCAGAGGCTTTAATAGAACCTGTCAACACTTAAGTAGCTGTTGCTGCTGCCAAAGATACTGGGAGAATGAAT